TCACCCCTCACTAGCGTCTCTCACCCCCTCACTATCTCTCACCCTCCTCTCCCCCTCACTAGCTTCTCTCACCTCACTAGCGTCTCTCACCCCTCACTAGCGTCTCTCACCCCTCACCTAGCGTCTCTCACCCCTCACTAGCGTCTCTCACCCCTCACTAGCGTCTCTCCTCACTGGCGTCTCTCACCCCTCACTAGCGTCTCTCACCCCTACTAGCGTCTCTCACCCCTCACTAGCGTCTCTAACCCTCCACTAGCGTCTCTCACCCCCTCACTAGCGTCTCTCACCCCTCACTAGCGTCTCTCACCCCTCACTAGCGTCTCTCACCCCTCACTAGCGTCTCCTCCTCACTAGCTTCTCTCACCCCCTCCTAGCGTCTCTCACCCCTCACTAGCATCTCTCACTCTCACTAGCGTCTCTCACCCCTCACTAGCGTCTCTCACCCCTCACTAGCGTCTCTCACCCCTCACTAGCGTCTCTCACCCCTCACTAGCGTCTCTCACCCCTCACTAGCGTCTCACCCCTCACTAGCGTCTCTCACCCCCTCACTAGCGTCTCACCCCTCACTAGCGTCTCTCACCCCTCACTAGCGTCTCTCACCCCTCACTAGCGTCTCTCACCCCCTCACTAGCGTCTCTCACCCCTCCTGGCGTCTCTCACCCCTCACTAGCGTCTCTCACCCCTCACTAGCGTCTCACCCCTCACCAAGCTTCTCTCATCCCTCACTAGCGTCTCTCACCCCCTCACTAGCGTCTCTCACCCCTCACTAGCGTCTCTCACCCTCACTAGCGTCTCTCACCCCTCACTAGCGTCTCTCACCCCTCACTAGCGTCTCTCACCCCTCACTAGCGTCTCTCACCCCCTCACTAGCGTCTCTCACCTCACTAGCGTCTCTCACCCCTCACTAGCGTCTCTCACCCCTCACTAGCGTCTCTCCTCCTCACTAGCTCCTCTCACCCCTCACTAGCGTCTCTCACCCCTCACTGCTTCTCTCACCCCTCATCAGCGTCTCTCACCCTCTACTAGCTTCTCTCCTCACTAGCGTCTCTCTACCCCTCACTAGCGTCTCTCACCCCTCACTAGCTTCTCTCCTCCTCCACTAGCGTCTCTCACCCCTCACTAGCTTCTCTCACTCCTCCACTAGCGTCTCTCACCCCTCACTAGCGTCTCTCACCCCTCACTAGCGTCTCTCACCCCTCACTAGCGTCTCTCTACCCCTCACTAGCTTCTCTCACCCCTCACTAGCGTCTCTCACCCCTCCTGCTTCTCTCACCCCTCACTAGCGTCTCTCACCCCTCACTAGCGTCTCTCACCCCTCACTAGCTTCTCTCACCCCTCACTAGTCTCTCACCCTCACTAGCACTCCTCTCACCCCTCCTGGCTTCTCTCACCCCCTCACTAGCTTCTCTCACTCCTCACTAGCGTCTCTCACCCCTCACTAGCTTCTCTCCTCCTCACTAGCGTCTCACCCCTCACTAGCGTCTCTCACCCCTCACTAGCGTCTCTCACCCCTCACTAGCGTCTCTCACCCCCTCACTAGCTTCTCTCACCCCTCACTAGCGTCTCTCACCCCTCACTAGCTTCTCTCACCCCTCACTAGCGTCTCTCACCCCTCACTAGCGTCTCTCACCCCCTCACTAGCGTCTCTCCTCCTAGCTTCTCTCACCTCACTAGCGTCTCTCACCCCTCATTAGCGTCTCACCCCTCACTCGTCTCTCACCCCTCACTAGCGTCTCTCACCCCTCCTAGCTTCTCCTCACCCCTCACTAGCTTCTCTCCACCCCCTCACTAGCGTCTCTCACCTCCCAGCGTCTCTCCACCCCTCTCAGCGTCTCACCCCTCACTAGTCTCTCACCCTCACTAGCGTCTCTCACCCCTCACTAGCGTCTCACCCCTCACCAGCGTCTCTCACCTCACCCTAGCGTCTCTCATCCCTCACTAGCTTCTCCTCCTCACTAGCTTCTCTCACCCCTCACTAGCTTCTCTCACCCCTCACTAGCGTCTCTCACCCCTCACTAGCGTCTCTCACCCCTCACTAGCGTCTCTCACCCCTCACTAGCGTCTCTCACCCCTCACTAGCTTCTCTCACCCCTCACTAGCGTCTCTCACCCCTCACTAGCGTCTCTCACCCCTCACTAGCGTCTCTCACCCCTCACTAGCTTCTCACCCCCTCACTAGCGTCTCTCACCCCTCACTAGCGTCTCTCACCCCTCACTAGCGTCTCTCACCCCTCACTAGCTTCTCTCACCCCTCACTAGCGTCTCTCACCCCTCACTAGCGTCTCTCACCCCTCACTAGCGTCTCTCACCCCTCACTAGCGTCTCTCACCCCCCTCCTTGCGTCTCTCACCCCTCTAGCGTCTCTCACCCCTCACTAGCGTCTCTCACCCCTCCTTCAGCGTCTCTCACCCCTCACTAGCTTCTCTCACCCCTCACTAGCTTCTCTCACCCCTCACTAGCGTCTCACCCCTCTCTGGCGTCTCTCACCCCTCACTAGCGTCTCTCACCCCTCACTAGCTTCTCTCACCCCTCACTAGCGTCTCTCACCCCTCACTAGCGTCTCTCACCCCTCACTAGCGTCTCTCACCCCTCCTAGCGTCTCTCACCCCTCACTAGCGTCTCTCCCTCACTAGCGTCTCTCACCCCTCACTAGCGTCTCTCACCCCTCACTAGCGTCTCTCATCCCCTCACTAGCGTCTCACCCCTCACCTAGCGTCTCTCCATCCCTCACTAGCGTCTCTCCCCCCTCACTAGCGTCTCTCACCCCTCACTAGCGTCTCTCACCCCTCACTAGCGTCTCTCACCCCTCACTAGCGTCTCTCACCCCTCACTAGCGTCTCTCACCCCTCACTAGCGTCTCTCACCCCTCCTAGCTTCTCTCCTCCCCTCACTAGCGTCTCTCCACCCCTCACCTAGCCTCTCACCCCTCACTAGCGTCTCTCACCCCTCCTGCGTCTCTCACCTCACTAGCGTCTCTCACCCTAGCGTCTCTCACTCCTCTCTTGCTCCTCTCACCCCTCACTAGCGTCTCTCATCCCTCACTAGGTCTTCCTCACTAGCGTCTCTCACCCCTCACTAGCTCCTCTCCTCCTCACTAGCTCCTCTCACCCCTCACTAGCGTCTCTCATCCCTCACCTACAAGCCAGACCTTCATTTGTTTTGTGATTGTTTTTAGGTGTTGAAGGTTCACACAGGTCCTTTATTCTCCATTAAAACACCGACTAATCACCTCAACACCGACTTCACCTCAACACCAACTAGTCACCTAAACACCGACTTCACCTCAACACCGACTAGTCACCTCAACACCGACTAGTCACCTCAACACCGACTTCACCTCAACACCGACTAGTCACCTCAACACCGACTTCACCTCAACACCGACTTCACCTCAACACCGACTAGTCACCTCAACACCGACTTCACCTAAACATCGACTTCACCAACTTTAAGAATCTCGAGGAAATGCATCACCCATCCTCCCTCTCAACTTGGGTTTAGACATAGGCAAGATGACCTCTAACCACCATGGGAAGTAACAAGGATAACAACATATGGGAACTACCTTACATATGATTAGTTAATGATTCCTAAACTGTATTAGGATTAGCCTAGTGTCCTAAAGAGTCCTATTGACAGGGGAGGGGATGTTCCTCCTCCTCTTCCTGCATTATCGAAAGTAAAACATAGCAACTCATTGTTATTACTCGTCCTGTCACTCTCCCCAAGCCAGTGTCATTACTCGCTCTGCCACTTCCCTTCCCCTACCACTGCTGCCCCCTTCTTACTCTGACCACTCCTGCCCCGCCCCTTACTCTGACCACTCCTGCCCCGCCCCTCTGACCACTCCCCCGCCCTTATTCTGACCCTCCTGCCCCGCCCTTACTCCGACCACTCCTGCCCCGCCCCTTACTCTGACCACTCCTGCCCCCTTACTCTGACCACTCCTGCCCCCTCCCTCACCCCATCTACTTCACAAATCCACCATTCTCTCACACTTGGCTCCAAAGCTCTCCCGCTCCTTCAAATGTTTTAGCATACAAATTGACAAACATAAAATAATACTGGTAGGCAAATTGGCGAGATTCTAATCGTTTGTTTGAGAACCACACTGAGTGATGTGGCCGTAAAGACTCGTGTTATCACTGTGCTAGCGAGTGGATGAGGTCAATGTTTACACTTCAGACACTCTTGGTGGACGGACACTCTTGGTGGACGGACACTCTTGGTGGATGGACACTCTTGTGGATGGACACTCTTGGTGGATGGACACTCTTGTAGACGGACACTCTTGGTGGATGGATACTCTTGGTGGACGGACACTCTTGGTGGACGGACACTCTTAGTAGATGGACACTCTTGGTGGATGGACACTCTTGGTGGATGGACACTCTTGGTGGACGGACACTCTTGGTGGACAGACACTCTTGGTGGACAGACACTCTTGTGAACGGACACTCTTGGTAGACGGATACTCTTGGTGACGGACACTCTTGTGGACGGACACCTTGGTGACGGACCCTTGTGACGGACACTCTTGGTGGACGGACGGTACATAATATTAATAAAAATACAATTTCTCAAAACCGTTTTAGAAGATGTGATTCAGAAATTAACTCATAGGAGGAGAGTCGGGGGTGAGGTGTTTGTTGTGGGGGAGGAGAACAAACACCTCCCCTCTCCGCACCTATCTCACACCTCCCCCCCTCTCCGCACCTATCTCACACCTCCCCCACCCACACTTACACCTCCCCCACCCCACCTCTCTCCCCACCCACATCTACACCTCCCCCACCCACCACCCCCACCCCCCTCCCCCCCTCTCCCCCACCTATCTCACACCACCCACACACCTCCCCCCCTCTTCCCACCCCCCTAACCCCACCTCCCCCTCTCCCCACCCATCTCACACCACCCACCTCCCCCTCTTCCCACCCACACCCCTACCTATCTCACACCTCCCCCTCCACCCACACTACACCCCACCACACCACCACTCACCTGACAGCGTCCATTGATGCAGAGATCGTGAGACTCCTTAGCACACCTGGTACCGTCCTGGACCCTGGGATTGAGGGTTACGATGGGTCCTCCTCCCCGGGCCCGGCAGGTGAGGGCACAGGGGTCACTACCTTCTGATGGCTCCCACTCGTACATGGTGCCCTCGTGTGGCAGGCCGTCGTACTCCGCACACTGCACCGCCCGGAAGTCGCGGCTCCCGGCAGGACAAGGGTCAACATTGCACAACTGGTACCTGAAGGAGTAGAAGCAGAAGGTCAGGAGGGTTTCTTAAGGGTGCTGGTTGTTTACTCAGTGTTGATCGGTTAATTAAAGGGATCATATCCTTAAGACACCAATAAGACTTAATTAAGAGGTCGTGCAGGTGAGGACCTACCTGACGGAGTCCCCTCGGCAGCCAGCGTAGTGAAGGCATCGTCGGGTCTGTACAGCAGCGCCTCCGTCACACGACCGAGAGCACAGTGACCAGTCCGACCATGACGACCATCCCTGTGGCGGGAATAATAATAATAATAATAATAATAATAATAATAACAATAACAATAATAATAATAATAATAATAATAATAATAATAATAACAATAATAATAATAATAATAATAATAATAATAATAATAATAATAATAATAATAGTAGTAGTAATATCAATAACAATAATAACAACTTTCTTCCTCTCCTCTCCTCCCTGTGTTACAACAACAACTAGACTGCTATAATGAACACACAAAAAATGTATAGAAACAAGTTACTCCTTAAATGACACGGAAGAATTACAGCTCAAGTCAGTTGGCGTGAAATGTGTTTATTGGCCTTAAAGATGGGAGCTGTTTGGTTAACTTTTCGTTCTGGCAGCCACTACATCCTCGAAAAATCGTAAGTTAAATTCCCCTTCACTGGATATTTATCTCACTTAGATTACGACATTAAGGGAGATTCTCAAATATTCGTAAGTTTAGTATTTCTCTTAACTATATATATATACTGAGAATGTGTCCCTTTTGTTGAGATATAAAGATAGTTTCTCGAGTTAACGTGAGAATAAAATTACAGCAAAAATATTCGTCCAAATTTTTATCAAAGTCAAGACAGAAATGAGGCTACCAAAATGGCGTTAAGATTACACCGAGACTCCACCTTGGTCTTCAGGTCTACTTCATCCACTTCTTCAGGCTCTTCTCTTCATCCACTTCTTCAGGGTCTTCTCTCCATCCACTTCTTCAGCTCTTCTCTTCATCCACTTCTTCAACTCTTCTCTTCATCCACTTCTTAAGGGTCTTCTCTTCATCCACTTCTTCAACTCTTCTCTTCATCCACTTCTTCAGCTCTTCTCTTCATCCACTTCTTCAACTCTTCTCTCCATCCACTTCTTCAGGTTAGTTTAAGTGTTGGACCTTACTACAGTGTGGAGCGGTCCATGATAAAGTGGCGGACATGGCTGGAGTGATGGACGTTACTTAAGTCTTCTTCAGGAGGTCTTCAGGTCTCTCGAGCAGGTCCAGGTCCGTGCAGGAGGAGCCAGTGACTTAACATCCTTTTCAGGGACCAGAAAAAGGGACCTCCGCTAGCCAAGAGTTGAACTTGGCTGTGTTTTTCAAGATGCTGGCGGCATCCGGTTGGCTACTTCCCGCCAACTTGGCGCGGAATGCCAGCCGTTCCGGCGTGATCACCCGACTGCGGCAAGACGGAACGAGTGAAGAGAATAATTAGGCGATACGCATTGCTGCATCTGTCTGTCTGTCTGTCAGCTGATGCCCTGACCTCCAGTTGACCTTGACGTGTAAAATGCATCCTCGACCCCATCATACTCCTAAGAAGTTGGACGCTGTAAACGCGCTTGTGTTCCGTCTTACGCAGGATACAAGGGGGTGTCCAATAAACTAGCCCCCCCCCCCAAGGCAAATCTCAGAAGAAAAAAAAATATCCCGACATCACCATAACCACAGTGTTGCCACATCTCTCACTTCCCACATGTGCCACATCTCTTTCGGGCTGCACACAGTTAACATTCACGCTTGAACGACCTTGTTAACAATAATTAATCTACTGTAGATGTTAATGTGAGTGGTGGGGGAATGTGTTGATGATGGTGGTGGTGGTTGTAGTGGGGCTGGTGGAGAGGAAAAATGATGTTGTATGGATGAAAAGAATCAGATATTATGACCAGGAAATAAAATAATATAAGTAAGGTCAGGTCAGGTCAGGTAATCGGAGTAACTGACCTAACATACCAAGAGACAGTCAGTGAGATAAGAGGCCACTAGAGGTCAAACTTAGCCTGACCTTAAGAAATATAACAAGGGGAAGGTCATGACTCGTAAGCCAGGTCGAGATCAAAGTCCGTAAACCAGGTCATTCTGGGTCATCGTTAACAAATGACCTCGCACGGCACCAATGGGAGACGATCAGCTTAAATGGCATTCTAAGACACAGCTTCGGGGTCAGAACCAACCACAGCGGCGTCACAACACTCACAGCAGCGTCACAACACTCACAGCGGCGTCACAACACTCACAGCAGCGTCACAACACTCACAACAGCGTCACAACACTCACAACAGCGTCACAACGCTTCCGTGACGCCTGCTGGACCACCACCCCTCGACCCCCTGACACGATGATCCTCCCCATACTGGCCAGATATTATGTAAATAATATTGATTATGTGTTAAAGGAATACCCTTCCTTCCTTAGGCTTTAGTAAGCCCCTTTATAATATTTATACTGTATATACTTGTCACACTTGCCAGATGCTTCTGGTGTCATTGTACAGGGGTACCTAGTGACAGCACTAGGATCCCGCTTCCTCTATCAAGGAATAAAGAATTGAAATTGAAATTGAATTGAATTGAAGTATTCTTAAAACAACCCCCAACATAGGCCGCGTCATCACCTCTTACCAAAATAACAAACTACATTACCAAAAATAATCACCAACCCCAGAGAACGTTTTTATTACAAATTAAATTGTTCATTAACATATTTACTCGAATGTGGTAATAAAAATCCCCATTGGTAACCCTGCTTTTGTCTGCTGTTGTCTGCTGCTGTCCAAGTGGCGGGAGTCTGCTGGCCGGGAGTGGCTGTGAGCGATCGTGTGTTGTTATATAAAAAAGTCCATAATAACAAGGACTCTCAGCTTACACCCAGGCCAATTTTCATCCGTTTTACTTTACACTTATGATACGTCGAAGCAACTTACTGATAATGTGGTATGATAAATTCAGTAGAACAAACAATAAAATTAATATAGTTTTGTTGTTTATTCATTAATAAGTTTCGGTATTTATGCTTTTGATATGTAAACACTTGCCCTCCCCTGTCCTGAACAACTTCCTGTGATACGTGTCTCTGTGCTGTAGCCAAGTGAATCATATCAAGACGTCTGTAATATCTCTAGTTTATGGAAGAAAAATAGACCCGATTTCACGAGTCATCGTACAATAAATAATGATTAGAGAGAGAGAGAGAGAGAGAGAGAGAGAGAGAGAGAGAGAGAGAGAGAGAGAGGAGAGAGAGAGAGAGGACAGACACACACACACACACACACGATAAAACAGTGACATTGGAACTTTAATTACCTCTCAACAATAACAACAACCCAAATCCACCCTAATTGCCCTGAAACGTGAAAACGACCTAACGATCGTTTGGGGGGGTGGAGACACAGGAAGGAGAGAGAGAGAGAGAGAGAGAGAGAGAGAGAGAGAGAGAGAGAGAGAGAGAGAGAGAGAGAGAGAGAGAGAGAGAGAGAGAGAGAGAGAGAGAGAGAGAGAGAGATTTCAACACTCAACCAGTTTCAACCAGTCAACATAGATTTGATTTTTATAGGATATTGTCTACCAGTCTACCAAATCCTCTACCTGTCTACCAGTCTACCTCCTCCTTCACCCTCCCGCCCCTCCTCCTTCACCCTTCCGCCCCTCCTCCACAACAATACAATCTTTCCCACTTTTACTTTCTTTTTTATTACCCAAATTTATCAATGAACATTATATATTTTTTCCATTTTTTTTATTTTTTTATTTCGTGTAATCAATATATCGTCTTTCTATATCGACGTTCATAATTCTCAAAGTCAGATTTTATTTTTTTTTCAACTATCGCGAAAGAAATATTAATGTTTTCGTGGTTTTTTCTTTTATTTTTTTTCGTTCAATAATTACATTAATTTTAGATTTTAGCGTGACCTTTAACATGACCTTATATAACCTTACATCGTGATTAATTGACCTTGACCCTCTAGCGTGACCTTCCAGCGTGACCTTACATCGTGACCTTACATCGTGACCTTCCATCGTGACCTTACATCGTGACCTTACATCGTGACCTTCCAGCGTGACCTTAGCTTCAACTAACTTGCATAACTGGTGTAAAATTAGGTTACATAATATGATTAAACAAGTAAAATTTTAATTAATCTCATTCCGTTAGCCATAAAAGAAACTCACAGACATTTGGAATGACATTTAAAGTTAGCTATTATAAAAAAATAAGAATTCTATATTTAATGTATGCACTATGTTAATTTATCATATCAGTCACATGTCCGTACACCATTATATCATGGCTTGCATTTTGGCATCATCTACAGACAGATTACTGCACTCTACACAAGACTAAGGCCAGTACTTTCAACTATAATCACCTTGTTCCAGGATATAAAATTACAATGAGATTCTTTCAATAACACTTACATACATACATACATACATACATACATACATACATACATACATACATACATGCAAGTCTAACGTTTACCTAGTGATCAAACTTCTGTAAATGGCGGGAAAGAAACACGAACAGTAGCGGCAGTAACTGTTGTAGCGGCAGTAACTGTTGTAGGGGCAGTAACTGTTGTAGGGGCAGTAACTGTTTTAGAGGCAGTAACTGTTGTCGGTATAAAGGCTGTGGGGGGTTGTACAGGGGCAGGGGGGGCTAAGGCTGGGGGCTATAAGGAGGTTGCTATATGAGGCTAGGGGGGCTATATAGGAGGTTGTGGGGGGGCAGGGGTGAGGGAGAAGATGTAAACAGGGGAGAGGAAGAAAGCGATATCAAATAAGGGGAGAAGGAAAGAGGGAGAAAGTAGGGTGTAGGTGACAGAGTAGAAGGGAGAGAGAAGGGGAGAGGAGGAGAGGGAGAAGGGGGAGGGTGGGGAGAGGGAGGGGATGAAGTGAGGGCTTAGGTCTATTGTGATGAGGGAAGCCAATAAGAAGAGGCCCTACTTGGGGTTACTGCGCGTGCTACCGGAGGGTGTAGTGGGGAGGGGGTAGTGGGGGAGGAGGGAGGAGGAGGAGGAGGAAAGAAGAATATAGGAAAGAGAAGAAGGAGGAGAAAAGATGATGAGGAGGAAGTGTATCCGTTCACTATAGACGGGTCATAACCGTTCACTATAGACGGGTCATAACCGTTCACTATAGACGGGTCATAACCGTTCACTATAGACGGGTCATATCCGTTCACTATAGACGGGTCATACCGTTCACTATA